CGGACGCCGGTTTGGAATCTGGTCGCTGCGTATAGTCAGTCTAACGGGCATTAGGTGCACGAGTCAATTCTGTTTCCACCGCCGACCGACCGCGTCCGCGTCAGCATTCCGTCGTACACGATCACGCGCATGTCCTCGTCGTCCTTCGTGTCCTACAAGGTAGCACTCTCAGGTTCCAGATTCTAGAATCGAGTTCGGTGGTGCAGATTCTGGTCACGACCGAAGACGAGACGTGGAGCGTGCGCCGCCGGTTTAGCGATTTCGTGTTTCTACGCGACGAAGTATCGAGACGTTTGCTAGAAACGAGATGTTGACGAACGTGTAGCTGCCCGAATGCGTCAAGCTCGGCCCACTTTTCCCCGAAAAGACGCTTCTCAAGCAGTTCAACCCCAAGCGCATCGACGCCCGGCGCGTCAAGCTCGAGCGCTACCTCAACGTACCCTTCGGATTGGATTTATGCTGGAAGAGATTCGAAAGTCTCTAGGCCGTGTTGTCCCACCCGCACTTTGACGTGCAGAACTCGCTTGCACTATGCGACTTTTTAGAGATGGTACGGTCATGGTATTTGGTCTAGTGTATCGACGGTGCTGACTAGGAATATGTCGCCGACGAAGCTGTCTACCAAGTCGTGTAGATGTCTTGTCGGCGGCGCACCAGCGTCTCGATCCTTAATTATTCCTGGCCTGTGGACCCGACCCCTAGTCCTCGTCCATACGAAAAAAGAAACGTAGTTTATATTAGAACGGACAAAGATCGATATGGTCAATAGCTTCATTCGCGCCGTTTACACTTGTGTGGACGGCGGCACAGCGGCCTGGGCAAGCCGCTTAGGCCGGTCCTCCTAACCGATAGCGTAAATATCCAGCATCATGGAACGAGGTACCTTGCGCAGACCACGCAATCGCTTCTCCAGAACGATCGCAGAGACAATGACGGGCAGGAGAAAGGAACACATGAGGAAGAGGCAGAGTGCGATCGTGAGCAGAGCGCCGACAATGTTGGAGCAGACACTGTCGTAGAGGAGGTCGTAGCTCGCATCCAGCCATGCGCAGTCCATGCTGCAGGTCGTCGTGTTGACGTGGGTGAGGAGCGTGCCGACGACGCCTTTCTGCAGCGGCCCCAGCACCGACGTCCGCAGCTGCGTGAGGTTGCCGACGTAGGCGGTCGCAAATTCTGCAACCGACGGAATCGACGCGTTCCAGCCGGGCGAGTGCGTCCCGCTACCGCCGCTGAAGTCCGTCTACACCACGCTTCAGTTGCCGTTCCAGAGACTAGGATCTAGTACGTCGATCTGGTCGAGGGCCGTGCGAATCTGCGCCTCGGCGAGGTAGGTATCGTAGGCTGCCACGTATGTCGTGTAGCAGGCGGTCGCGACGCTGTTGCACGACTTGCTCATGTAGCAGCGCGGCGCGTTCGTCGTCGACTCAAAGTAGCACGTCGATTCGCCCGACGCCTGCAAGGATGCGTGCCCGTCGGCCTCCCACGGTCGCGGAAGGTTGTCTAGTGTCAGCTGCGGCGTATGCGCAGCGGCCTCAGCGACCAAGTCGGCGGCAGGCGTGGTCACCCACGCCGACTCGTTGGCCCTACCCAGTCGGTCAAGTTGGAAGATACTTCGGTAGAAGCTCATACGCATGCAGTGTCTGGCTCAGGTTGGTCATGGCCGTCACCAAGGCTGTCAGCGGGAGCGCATTGGCTGCAATAAGTTCTTGTTCGAGCGGACAGCTGAACGCAAGATCCTCTTCAATGCCAAGCGCAGAGAGGAGCGACGTGTTGTGAAAGCATGCGTGCAGTATCTCGGACGCTTGCCCTGGCCACACGGACGCTAGATCCATTTCAGCCAATCGAACGGATGGTGTGTCGGCGTACTGCTGTTGTCCCGCAGGACTGCCACGTAATGACACGTGTCGTTGCCCAGCATCGCAAAAATCAAGATGGCCGCCGAGAACGCGAAGCCGCCAATACAGACCGTCGCGCCCCAGAGCCTAGTTGGTTGGCTTGGATGAGCACGCGCGCGGAGCGAGACGTGTTCGCACCAGGCGCCATTAAGAACGCGCACGAGGCAGCTCTTGCGGGAACAGTGCCCGGCGACGATACCCACCAGCCCTACACACGCCGCTCGCTGTCAGTGGGCGCAACGAATGCAAAGCAGGAAGACCCAGCGCGCAGACGGCGACGCCGAAAGCAAAGGCGGTCATAAGCGCGACCACTTGCGCCACCGAGATGGCGCTGAACGCCGAGTACGCACTGTGCACGCTGGCTTGCGTCGTCGCCGCTTTGGCCTGGACGCTTGTGAGGTACGTATCAGCGCTGTCGAGCGCAGCCTGGATCGTCTCCTGGGATCTGCACCCAGCGCATAAAACGAGAGAAGGGGAGATGGATTAATACGCACAGCTGGAGGCGCGAGTACAAAGTGTTCACGACGGCCTCGGTCGTTGTGTGGCTCGCGTTAAAGGCGTCCACCGTCGCGTTGAATGCGATAGGAAACGTTCCACAGAGTGCTGGCGGGCATGTCACACACACCTACATCCTCTGAGTGCGACCCTATAGTACAATGGACCTTCGTACGTACGTCGGTAGAGTTAAGCGTGCATCCGATCGGGTATGGCCCCAGGTGGGCCAAGCTGAACTCCAAATGCGCGCGCAGCGTCCAAAGCGTGGTGATGTTGTCGTTCATCCACGCACTCGTGGCCGTCGGGTTGAGCTCTACGCACAGAGCTCGTGCCATCGTGTCGGGATGGGTGGGCCTTACGCAGCTGGATCTCGGCGACCGTACTGTTCAAGGCCGTCGCGACATGCGCCAGCGGCTTGTCCACATTGCCTACCCATAGATAGCTTCGTTCTTCGTGTTCTGCTGTGGCAGTATAACAAGTTTACGCGTCATCGTCTGCAGGTTGGTGAGGGACATGTCGACGGCCGAGAAGGCGCCGTTGATCCCCTTGGTGATGATTTGGTTTTGAGTGAACGCAAAGGCCGCACAGAGCGCGACGGCCGTTGCAGAAAAGCCGTAGACGAGCACCGGCCGCGAGCGCTCGGCCCGCGTGTAGCTACATGTGGCATTGAGGGGTTTGGGGTGGAAGGGGTGGACGGCCCTACCCGTGGCGGTGCGGTCGGTTGCCGTAGCAGCGGTCGCAGCCGCAGCGCAGAATGAGAAAGACCACCGTCACGAGAAGCACGAGCGATGCTAAAAAGACGCCGGGAATCGCGTACGGTACAAACGACTTGGGGTACGCGGAGGTGACCCACGCCGACGCGGCCCGGACGTTCGCCTCCGTGTAGTGGGGTGTGCGGTTGACCATGGGCGGCGGCCAGTAGCAGTTGGCCGCGCGCTCGCAGAGCCCTTGGTCAAAGCAGTTGCCGTCGCCGCCAACGCGAAAGCAAAGCGTGCCATTCAAGACCGCGCTCGGGTCGTCTAACACGACGATCTCGTCAAAATGCTTGCATCACAGGCGACATACCGCGTGCCACGCAGCGCTGCTTGTCGCTAGCCGAGAGCATGCTGTCGCAGGCGTACACCGCGATCGCGTGGAGCGAGTTGCGGAACCAGCTGTCCGTGTAGCCGCGAATGCTGTCGACGCGTTCAAAGAGTGCGGTGGCCGCGCCCTTGGTCGAGACGGCGTCTTGGGCAAAGCTCATAAACGACGTCGACTACATGGTCCAATCAGAGATAGCGGAAGAAAGGCCATGTACGGTCGTGGCTGGCGTGAGCGTCGAGGACGAGGCAAAGGCATCGTTCTGCGTCGTCAGCGTCAGGCAGGTGGCGCTGCCGGGCAAGAGCTCGCTGGCGCTGCAGTTCGTCATGCCAACGACTATGATCGAAAGTGCAATCTATTTACAGCGATGCAGCTATTCTTGATAACGACCAAGATACGCGTTCCAGGCAGACTCGCTTGGCGCAGTTGACCTCTGCTCGCGCGTGCAGCGTTGCAAAGTGCTGGCAAACAAGGTGGTCGCTGGATCGGCCTGTATGCAAGCACGTGCAACATCACAAGGCGACGACAAGGTGCGGCTTTTGTCGCGCAGCTGAAGTGCACGATGCGCAGAGGAGGAGCTGCAATCACCGTCAAGTCGCGGCCCTCATTGGCCGCCACCGGTGGCAAGATATGACCTTGTCCCTTGTACGAGATATCGCGGGTCCCACGACGTCTGCTACTGAAGAGAACGTCTGCCGCAGCGACCTCGCGGACAACCGCCTCGAGATCGTCTCGAGCTCTCCGCCACGTACATCTGCCTCGCGCCATGAACGCTTGCACCAGCATTCCCAAGAAGACCACACGGGCACGACGCGCAACGAAACATCTGGGGTACTGTATGGCATACTTTGATTGAATGTAACGTATCTTGACGCTTTCCACGTGGCGCGCTGCGGCGCCGTTTCGACTTTGCACTTTGAGGGTCAACCGAGAACACTACTGTAATAGGAATGATGCACGTGTCTTCTACTAGCCATATTACGTCGGCGTCCTAGTCGTCGTCTTCGGAATCCGAAAGCGTCATTCGGATCTTGGGCACTTGCTCCGACTCCGAGTCGGAGGCGTCCGACCTACCACACCATCTGCATGAGACGCCAAAGCCAAGGAAGACACGTCGATACCCTTCGTCGCTGGAGCTCGAACTCTCGGAGCTGGCCTCGTCCGGCGCGTCGTCGAGCCGCGGCTTCTTATCAACGTGTCCAGGAGTTTTTTCTTCCAGCTTGGCACGGAGCTGCTCCATGTACAAGGGCGGGACGGGCTGCTCGTTGATGGCCTTGAGGATGTGCCCGGGCACCTCGATGCCATGTTCCTACAACACCAATCCAGTCGTCACCAGATGACCATAATAGCATGCGTACCGCAAAGACGGACGGGCCACGAAGGCGCACGAGTGCTTCGGCTGGCAAGTCGATCGGGTCGCTACATCGGGCAATAAGAGATCCATGTATCCGAGAGGAATCCTGTACCCT